TCAACATGTCAGAATCAAGACTTGTGGTCAAATGAGTAAAATCAAAATAGCCAATGTCCAAAATGGCAATTACCCACTAAAAAAATAAAGCAATTACAGTTGTGATTAGTACATTTATGTACTTATTAAAGTAAAACTGACATTAGAAATTGAACTATAATTGGGGGAAGTAGTATTAAATCAATATTTTTTTCTTTTCAATTTTTATTGATTTGCCACTGTTTAAATGGCTATGTAATTTGGGGAGTACAACTTCACCCTTGGCATGTATCCATGTCTCCCTCCTGCCACAACTGTCCTGTGCCACAAACCTGTCACCTCCCTCTTCTATGACCTCCTCTCTCCCCAGCCTCTCTAGGAACCAGTATATTTTTCAGAGTCTAAGAACTACTCTTGTTGTTTTGCCAGTTTGTTTTCTTTATTTCTATTTTCATAAAAGAGTATAACCATCTGGTAACTGTCTTTCACTTTCTGACTTACTCACCATGATCACATCAAGCTATGTCCATTTTGTCCCAAAAGTCACTATTTCATAGCTGAATAGTATTCCATTGAGTATATATTCCACATTTTTTATCCAGTCATTTGTCAACAGTCATTTAGGTTGGTTCCATGACTTGGCTATATATTTTTTAAAGATTTATTTATTTATTAATACAAGCACTGGGTACAGTCAGAAGCGCAGGAGGGTGAGAGAATTCACCAGAGCCAGAGCGGGGAACAGAACAGGTAGAAGGACTGAAGTACACTGCTGAGGGGAGCAGCGGGCGCGGCAGGAAAGGTCTGCGCACCATGTGGGACCCTCGCCGGCAGCCGGGGATCGAACCGGCACTGCAGAGGCTGCGGGCAGCTTCACAACCCAGCGCTCAACGGCTACACCACCGGGGAGGTCTGACTTGGCTATTTTTTAAAGATTTATTTATTTACGCGTACAAAAACTGGGGTACAGGCCAGAGGTGCAGGGGGTGAGAGGATTCACCAGAGACAGAGTGGGGAACAGAACAGGCAGACTGACTGAAACACTACTGAGGGGAGCAGCGGGTGAGACAGGAAAGGTCTACTATGCCATGTGAGTTGTTCCCTGGCCGACTGGGGATCGAACTGGTGCTGCAGAGCCAGCAGAGAGCTTCACAGTGCTTTGCTTAACCCCTTGCACCACCAGGGAGGCCCCATGACTTGGCTATTTTGAATATTGCCACTATCAGCATCGGAGTGTGTAAATATTATTGTATTAGTGTTTTCATATTCTTTGGTATATGGTATTGCTGGATCATCAAATGGTATTTCCATTCTTCTTCTTCTTTTTTTTTTTTAATGAGAACGCTCCAAGTCATTTTCCATAGAGAATGCACTAAATCTCAAAATTACATTTCACCAACAGTGGATTAGTGTTCCTTTTTCCCCATATCCTCAACATTTGTTGCTTCCAGTTTGGTTTTACCACTGGCTTGTTTATTTGTTTGCTTCATTTTCACCAGGGTAAGTTGATATTTCATTGTGGTTTTGATTTGCATTGTCCTTAAAATTCTTTTTTCATGTGCATGCAGGGCTTAATAATGTCTTCTTTGAAGAATTATTTATATAGGTCTTTGGCCAATTTTTTTATTGGGTTGTTTGTTTTTTCCTTATTGAGTTGTATTAATTCCTTATATATTTTGAAAGTTAATCCCTTGTTGGATATGTGGCATGCAAGTTTATTTTCCCAGTCCAGAGGTCACCTTTTTTTTTGTTTTGTTTTTGTGGCTTGAAAGAAGAAATATAGTAGAGAGTGAGAGGATAAAGCTCTTATTAGAAATAGAAAGGAAAAAAAAGAAATAGAAAGATAAGGATAAGTTTGGGTTTGTTGGGCTATAGAGTCAAACAAACAAGTTTGGAGCAAGATATAGCAATCATAGCTAGAGACATAAACTTGGAGTTAATGGTTCACTTATGGTCTTTAAAACTATTGAACCAGATGAAATTACCTAGCAGAGTACAAAAAGAAAATCCATCACCTTGGAGGTTCTCCAAAATTCAGACTCTCCATGTTAGAGGTTGGATAGAAAAGACATCAGAGAGACAGGAGGAAAACCAGGAGAGTGCAGTACCATGGAGGCAGGAAAAGAAAATATTTCAAAAGGAGTGGCTAGATGTGTTAAATGCTGCTGAAGGAGAAAGCAGTGGGGAAAATAATTCTCCCCATGGACCAAGATAGAAGTTTTTGGAAACTTGGATAAAAAGCTGGATCAAGAAGCAGTGTAAATACGGTTCCAGTTGGTGTGGGTTAATAAGAAGAAAGGAAGGAAGAAAATGGGACCAGGTGCCTATGAACAACTCTTCTGAGTTTTCTTCTTTGAGAGAAAGCAAAGATGTGGGGTGACAGTTAGAAGATGGTAGGGGAGGTCGATGAAGGCTTAAAGACTTTTTTCAGGTGACTGTGATTAGGAATGTTTATATATAGAAGGGAATAGTGCAGGAGAGGGGATAATATATTGCAAGGTTCTTGAGGAGGTCCCAGCCTCAGAGAGGCTGAGGATTATCCTTCCTTGTAAGGGCAGAGGAGGTAGAGTATTTTAGAACAAGTCACCAGCTTCTTTGCGTATCAACTTTGAAACAGTAGCCTGCTGAGGAATATTTTCTATGGACTAACCTCAACATACTCCAAATCTTTTAAGTTCACCTCATTGTCAAACAGTTAACAAACAACTTTAACAAGCAACTCTTAAGAAGTGTAAGTATTGGGCCTCCCTAGGGGCCTAGTCTGAGCACTATCAGATACCCAGCCAGGGAGCACCCACATATGGTGTAGACTTTTCCACCTTTCCTGACTTGCCCACTGTTTTGTTTCTCCCAGCAGTGTATTTCAGTTAATCTGCCTGTTCTGCTCCCCACTCTGTCTCTGGTGAATCCTCTCTCCCCCTCCCATGCCTCTGGTCTTCACCCCAGTTCTTTTACTCACAAACAAATAAAGTCTTAAAAAAAAATGTAAGTATTGAGTGGCTACCGAAGAGAAAAGACAAAAAATAAAATAATACCACTTACCAAATGCACCTGCAACATCCATTCACCCCTAACTACAGGGTATAAAAATCTTAGGATCTGGGAGTATTTCTTTGTTGTCAGATGCACCTTCAGGGAATATAAAACTAACAATTCCTCTTACACCATGATTCAGCAGTGATTCCCCCATATATACCTTATCTGGAAGAATGGAAGTTGCAGAGGGTCTCAAGACAATATTCTATGTTGGATTTTTCTCCTTTTTTTGTTCTCTGTCCATCTGAGCAGGAGCAATGCTCAGGGGCCCCACACTCCTTAGGCTATTATATCAGGAGCAGAGTACTTACTCTTTATTGTGGCTCATTTGTCTCAAAAAATCTTGTCACTAAGGTGACAATGTTGTTATAAACCCAATTATTTATCTTAATTAAGAAGGTTTATGAATGGATATATAGCTCTCACCAAATGGAGTGGTTAAAACATGATTTTAAGTCATCATGATACATTTTGAGTCAGAATAACATACTGGCTTTTGAGAGCACAATAAAGGCTTCACTTTTACTTTTTTAAGGGGGGGGGTAATGGGTGAATGCATTTTTAGTCCTAGAGCTAGAAAACCATAAATGGAGATTTATAAAATAACCTCTGCAAGACATTTTATTACTTAGCATCTAGCTTCTAGGTTCATATATGATCAAATAACAAAATTTGTGTGAAGGAAGTTTGAAAACTATGAAATGCTATATAAGTAGAACAACAAAAAATAGAATCTATCCAGGTAAAATTAAAGTACAAAAGAGACAATGAAGGGGCTTTGAGATGAGAACACAGGCAGCAAATCACATATACAATCTTATATAACCTTATGTAACCTTTTCATTTGCACATAAATTACATAAGGATCTTATAAAAAAGCAGATTTTGATTTAGTGATTCTGGGACAGGGTATGAGATTCTGCGTTTCCAACAAGCTCCCATGTGGTACCCTGGCTAGTCCACAGAACAGTTTGAGAAGCAAAACTCAGCCATCAGGGGGCTAAAATCGCAGTGAGGAAGGTGTCACAAAGAGATCTGGGTACAATACCCAGAACATCATGAAACAGCTGAGAAGTTTCGGAAATCTTTACTAGAAAGAGATTTGAATAACTACATGTATAAGTCAAGATGGAAGGATAGAATGAAAACATGATATATGAGGTGGACTGGGGAGGAAAATGAAAAAAAAATCAAGTTTTGGGCAAAAAAAGATGTACGCAGGGTCAGCAGATCGAGAGACCTGCTGTGAAGAGCATTGCATAAGCCCTGGTCTGCATCCTTTAGACACCTATCAGCAGGAATCACCCTCTGAACTCCTGGAACCTTCCTGGCCCCTGAATCAGTCCACAAATATCCCACCAAACAGGCATTTCCTTTTTGAGAAAATCTTTTATCTCCTAAATTCTTGCCTTTCTCACACCCAAATTGCCTACCAGAAACAATGAGTTTAAGGTGTGCATGTTACTTTGAATGGAAAATTAACATATACCCATGAAAATGAATCCTATATTTCTGCCACATGTTTGTCTCAAATTTAATTCCTCCTTTTTTTTTTTTTTTTTTTGCAAAGACAATCCACCTACTAAATATTTTACAAAATAAACCTTGCCTGTGGGAGGTTCAAAGAAGCAGCTTGCTGGGACCCCAAACCCACCAATCTCTTCTCCCAGGCTCCTCACTTTGATAAACACATTTGTCTAATGACCATTGAGACTTTCATTCCAATCAACAGGGGTAAAGAACCATCAGCAGCTCTGTGATGTTCTCCACTGTGGATTCTTTTATAATTCTAAAGTAAGGGAAGCCTTTCAGGAAGGAGAAATTAGCCACTTGAAAGAAAGACCCAAAAAGTCTTCATCAGCAATTAGTCATTACCCACCAAATATTTAGGTGTTCCTAGATTTTGAAAAAATCATGTATTTCTTAATTGAATATCGCAAAAGATTCAGACTAACTTAGTACTTAACGTTTAGACTATGACTTACCATAGTAAGGGCTGTCTTGTAAGTAAGCGTGTGTTCTTTTAACTAGGAGAAAGCACAAAGGACAAATTTTTAATTTTATGGATGGTACCTCTGAAGCTCTAAACCTATCTCTCCCTGTCCTAAACAATCTGAGCCCATAGACTTTAACACAGAGAATAACATAAGGTCAGTTAGGCTAGCTGAACAAACTCTTAATAACCAACATCATTGATAATGAGTATTTAATCTTAAGAAGTTAGGGGAAAAATGCACGAAGGAGCTGGAGGTAATTGATTCGGGGTGGGAGAATAAAAATGTCAACTCTTCCCTTTTCATCCATTCTCTATGCAATCTAGATGATGTTGTCTTAAAAAACTTAGTGCCAAAAAAAAAAAAGGAAAAAGAAAAATTTAGCACCCAGAATTGAGGTACTTTATTTTCACTTTATGTGGCTTCTTACACCTTAGAAGACACATTAGTCATGAAAAATCTAATGCACATTAAAAACTTTTAATTACATGCAGAGTAAACAGTGTAGATTAGGGAAATGTAATTTGAATTCAGCAGTCACATTTTAACCACATTATGTGTGGCCTTTTGCTTTAAAAAAGCTCCCATATGATAGCTATTAACACAACCTAATTGATTTGGAAGTTAGAATCTATGATTTTTTTTGTTGGGGGGGTAGGTAGGTAAGGTGGCAAACTCCATAATGAACAATGACAGTGCCCTAAAGTTTTTAGGTACAAATAATCCCAAACATGTTAGATGAAAATACAAATGCTTCCTGTGACTGCCCCATTCTCTACTGCTTTACCAGATTTGCTGACTCAGTAATGTGAGCTTTTGAAATAAATTCCCACTGGACCTAATAGGCAGAAACTAGAATTGCTTGGTTTAAGCATTGATGCTTCTCATTGGTCTCACAAACAACAGTAAATCATTAAGAGTTAGAACTGAAATAGATTCAGGGAAGGTGAACATTTTATAAGCTGTTTTTGTTTGGGAAATATAATAATAACGATAATTAAAATAGCAACCAATTTTTGAATAGTTTACTATGTACTAGGGGCCATGCTTCCTTTACAGTATTTAATATAATACTCACAAGGACCCTTGCTGTAATCACAATAATCAGTTCTTTTCCAAGATAATGAAAAGCTGAGGTTCCCATCAGCAATGTGAACCATAGGCTCTAATCTTTGCTTAGAGTCACACTGCTCATGAGGAGGGATCTGGAAATCAAACTTAGTTCTAGTGGACCCAGCATTCACTCATAACCAATACAACTGCTAGCCTGACCACTATCAAATTGATCACAAAATAAAAGATTATCCATCTTTTTTTTCAGGACATTTTCCTCCACACCCTACCCTCTTTAAAGACAGCAATGTTGGACCACATTCCTTAAGATGACAAGCAGATTTTTAATTAGGGACATAAAGACTTACAGACTTACCATTTGTAAAGTCAAGTAAAGCCCCCCTAAATTTTATAAGAATGGCGGTCTTTCACTAGTTTCATTAGACTCTTAGCTTGTATGTCCAGGCTTAGTGACTGAAAGAATAAAATGTCAGGATTTGATAGTTTCATTCCTATTCCTGGGTCCTATTAGCTTTGCTATTAATATCCTAGATTTTCTAAAAAAAACATAGAAATTGAGGTTTGTAGTCATTTTAAATTATCACAAGATATGTTTTTTTGTAAAAGGTCACAATGTACCATTCTACTCAAATGGTGGCTCATACAATAACAGTGGTCAGCGCCTCACTTAAGTCTCCTAACTCTGCTTCCCAACTCCCCCAGCTATACAGAAGTCACTACTCACTCACAGAGACTATGTTCCAGGACCAGTAGATGTGTGAAAGTGCAGATAGTACCAAACACCATATATTCTGATTTTTTCCCATACATACCCACCTATAATAAAGTTTCATTTATAAATTAGGTAGTAAAGATTAACAGCAATAACTCATAATAGAAAATAATTATAATATAATTAAAGCTATTTGAATGTTGTCTCTCTTAAAATATCTTTTTTTTTTAGATTTATTTATTTTTATATAAGAACCGGGGTACAGGACAGATGTGTGGGAGGGTGAGAGGATTCATCAGAGACAGAGCGGGAAAGAGAACAGGCAGACTGATGAAATACACTGCTGAGGGGAGCAGCAGGCTAGACAGGAGAGGTCGGCGACACCATGTGGGACTCTTGCTGGCTGGCAGTGATTGAACCTGCTCTGCCAAAGCTGCGGACAGCTTCACAGCGCTGCGCTCAACCGCCTGCGCCAACAGGGGAGGCCCTCTCTTAAAATATCTTATTGTACTATATTCACCCTTCTTTTTTTTTTTTATAATAAATTTTATTTTTATATTCCCCCATACAATTGCAAACGCCCCATTCTGACCCCAATCCTTCCCCTCCCGCCCCCCACCCCCCAAAAAGTGTCTCTGGTTCATAGTTTTTTGTTGATTTTGATTTTCACTTTCTTATATTCATTTTCCTGGTCCCTTATTTAAGTTTTCTAGATTCCTGCTATGAGTGAGACCATCCGGTATTTTTTTCTTTTTGGCTTATTTCGCTGAGCATGATCCCTTCCAGCGCCATCCATGTTGCTGCAAATTGCATGTGTTTATCTTTTTTGAATGCTGAGTAATATTCCATGGTATATATGTACCACATCTTCTTGATCCAGTCATCTATTTTTGGGCATTTGGGTTGTTTCTAAAGCTTAGCTATTGTAAACAGTGCTGCTATAAACATAGGGGTGCAGGTGCTCTTTGGAATTGATGTTTCTGTGTCCTTTGGGTAAATACCTAGGAGTGGAATTGCTGGATCATATGGAAGCTCTATGTTTAGTAGGTCCAGAAATCTCCACACAGCTCTCCACAGTGGTTGGACCAGTTTGCACTCCCACCAACAGTGCAGGAGAGTTCCTTTTTCTCCACACCCTCGCCAACATTTGTTGTTGCTAGTTTTTTTAATATGTGCCATTCTCACTGGTGTAAGATGGTATCTCATGGTAGTTTTGATTTGCATTTCCCTGATGACAAGTGATGTTGAACATTTTTTCATATGCCTGTTGGCCATTTGCATTTCCTCTTCAGAGAAGTTTCTTTTTAGCTCTTCTGCCCATTTTTGGACTGGATTATTTTCTTTGTTGTTGAGTCTCATCAGCTCTTTGCAGATTTTTGTGATCAGTCCTTTATCATTAGTGTTGGGTGCAAAAATGTTCTCCCAGTTGGTGGGGTTTCTCTTTGTTTTTGTTATTGTCTCTTTTGCTGTGCAGAAGCTCTTTAATTTGATGTAGTCCCAGCTGTTTATCTTTGCCTTCACTATCACTGCTTTGGGTGATGTGTCTGTAAAGATGTCTTTTTTTTTTTTTTTTACTGTATCTATTTATTTTTATTTATTTTTTTTTTAAATATTAAATTTTATTTTTATATTCCCCCATACAATTGCAAACGCCCCATTCTGACCCCAATCCTTCCCCTCCCGCCCCCCACCCCCCAAAAAGTGTCTCTGGTTCATAGTTTTTTGTTGATTTTGATTTTCACTTTCTTATATTCATTTTCCTGGTCCCTTATTTAAGTTTTCTAGATTCCTGCTATGAGTGAGACCATCCGGTATTTTTCTTTTTCTTTTTGGCTTATTTCGCTGAGCATGATCCCTTCCAGCGCCATCCATGTTGCTGCAAATTGCATGTGTTTATCTTTTTGAATGCTGAGTAATATTCCATGGTATATATGTACCACATCTTCTTGATCCAGTCATCTATTTTTGGGCATTTGGGTTGTTTCCAAAGCTTAGCTATTGTAAACAGTGCTGCTATAAACATAGGAGTGCAGGTGCTCTTTGGAATTGATGTTTCTGTGTCCTTTGGGTAAATACCTAGGAGTGGAATTGCTGGATCATATGGAAGCTCTATGTTTAGTAGGTCCAGAAATCTCCACACAGCTCTCCATAGTGGTTGGACCAGTTTGCACTCCCACCAACAGTGCACAAGAGTTCCTTTTTCTCCACACCCTCGCCAACATTTGTTGTTGCTAGTTTTTTTAATATGTGCCATTCTCACTGGTGTGAGATGGTATCTCATGGTAGTTTTGATTTGCATTTCCCTGATTACAAGTGATGTTGAACATTTTTTCATATGTCTGTTGGCCATTTGCATTTCCTCTTCAGAGAAGTTTCTTTTTAGCTCTTCTGCCCATTTTTGGACTGGATTATTTTCTTTGTTGTTGCTGAGTCTCATCAGCTCTTTGCAGATTTTTGTGATCAGTCCTTTATCATTAGTGTTGGGTGCAAAAATGTTCTCCCAGTTGGTGGGGTTTCTCTTTGTTTTTGTTATTGTCTCTTTTGCTGTGCAGAAGCTCTTTAATTTGATGTAGTCCCAGCTGTTTATCTTTCTCTTCACTATCACTGCTTTGGGTGATGTGTCTGTAAAGATGTCTTTGATGTGCAAATCCCGTAGTGTTTCGCCTATATTTCCTTCTATGTATTTTATGGTTTCAGGTCTTATGTCTAGTTCTTTAATCCATGAGTTTGAGTTTTTTTGTGTATGGTGTGAGGTAGTGGTCAAGCTTCATTCTTTTGCATGTAGCGACCCAGTTTTCCCAGCACCATTTATTGAACAAACTTTCTTTGCTCCAATGCATAGTCTTTGCTCCTTTGTCAAAGATTAGTTGACCATAAATCTGTGGGTTTATTTCTGGATTTTCTATTCGATTCCATTGGTCTGTATGTCTGTTCTTGTTCCAATACCATGCAGTTTTGATGATTATGGCTTTGTAGTATAGTTTGAAGTCTGGGAGTGTGATGCCTCCATTTCCTTCTTTTTTTTTCAGTAGAGCTTTGGCTATTCGGGGTTTTTGGTGATTCCATATGAATTTCATCAATAATTGTTCTATTTCTTTGAAGAATGACATTGAAATTTTGATTGGAATAGCATTGAATCTGTATATTGCTTTTGGTAGGAAGGCCATTTAATAATGTTTATTCTTCCAATCCATGAGCAGGGGATGTCTTTCCATTTCTTTGTGTCTTCTTCTATTTCTTTTAACAG